TTTTTATTTTTTAATTATTGGAAAAAAATATTAATACAAATTGCATATGTAAAAAAAGAATAATTTGTGAGTCTTTAATTATTTTGTGAATATTTATAAACTGAGTATGTAAGTGAAAGCTTACATCATACTCAATTTATTATAAAGTATATTTGAAAAAAAGCATATTAGTTTCTATATAGGAAGCATGAACATTAAAAGTTGTATATTTCTAAATAAAATGCTGATAAATTAATAACCAGAAATGATTAAAGAAAAAATACACAATGAGACAGTGAAACTAAGCTTGATTGACTCCCAACAAGGCAGATTCACTCCCAACAAGGCTGCAAGCAACCAATATTAAGTTAGGAGTTGGGAAAAAAAGAATAGAGTTATAGAGCAAGGAAACGGTTGACAGAAGACTTAAAAAGTTGAAGGTTGTATGAGTCAGGAAAACATGAAGATGGCACAGAGTTCCAAAGGTTTTAAGTACGGCGAAAAAAGCTAAACGAATAAAAGTTTTTTGGACATGCACGGAATGATTCAGTAAAATAATGAGACTTTGATGAACTTTGGTGAATTTTGAATGATGAGTCAAGCAAGAACGAGTTTTAGTTGATGGAACTAGAGATGAAAGTTTATTTGAGCAGCGACCATGATAATGTTTGTAGAAAAGAGATTAAGACCCATTTTTACGACAATGGATAAGAGGCTTAAGCTTAGCAAATAGACAGGGTCCATGTACGTTTACAATGCGTTTTTGGACCTTGTCTAGATGAGAAAGAGCATCTTTAGAAGAACCAGTACAAATATGACAACAGTATTACATACAGAGACGCATAAGACATTTGTAGAGAATGGAATCAGGAGAGAGAAAATGACAAGAACAATAAAGAAAACTATCCTTAGCAGATGCTAATTTAGCAATCAATTGTATACATAGTTCAAGAAGACCTAAAGAAGAAGACTCAGTGAGAGAGCTCCCACTCATCAATATATTAATGTCGACAGTACTGCAATACGTGTTTGCAGTAAATAACTGAGTTTTGTTGGATTTCAAAATTACTAGCCACTGTGAGTCCCAATCTGTTGCAGAAGTGAGGTCAGATTCAAGATTGGCTGCCGGTTCTAAGCGATCAAAAAGAGAAGACTTTTTTGTGAAGGAGTATAATTTTGAGTCATCAGCAAAAAGAGCTACTTTAATTACTTTAAATTTTATTTTTTTAAATTACTTTTAAACTTGAAATTACTTGAAAACTTTAATTACTTTAAAACTTTAAATGTGAGGCTATCGGGAAGATCATTAATATAGAAATAAAAAATAGGACCGAGGAAAGAACTTTGAGATAAAGAAGAGTGTTGGCCTTCGAGGATGACTTTAATAAGGTGGTTAGAAAGAAAAGTTTTATTATCAAATGCATGTTAAAATCTTTCAGTCAGAGCATTTAGTAAGTCAATAGAGCAAGAGGATTGAAAACCGTATTGATTGTCTGACAGCAAGTTATTTGACACAAGATGAGACGTGAGAAATTTGTTTTTCAAAGACTCAAAGACCTTGTTAATAACAGAAAGAAGAATGGTTGGAGGGGTCAGGATGTTTACCGGTGTTTTTGAAAATAGTAACAACAGATGCCATTTTCCAGCACGTAGGAAAACAAGACTCAGTCAAGTACTTATTAAATAGTTTAGAGAAAATTGAAGAGAGTTCTGGAGAAATATTTTTCAAGAATGTGACAGGAATGTTTTTTGGGCCACAAACCGTAGAAGAGTTTAATTGAAATATAACTTTAGCAACAAAAGCTGGAGTGATTTTAATGTCTAACAATGGCTAAACCTGTTTAATAGGAATGGAAGGAAGAGAAGGGCTTTAAGATTCGAGATTCAAATTAGAAAAAAATTTCTTTGCAAATTATTCAGTCTTATCCTTGGGGGAGGTAATAAGATCAGTCCTATGAATGAGAGATGGAATGTTAGACTTTCCTTTATTAACAACGCTGTTGAAAATTTTCCAAAAGTGTCAAGAGCCCAAGTTCTGAGGTAAGATACAAGATTTAGTGAAACGAGAATAATGGTGCTTAGCATCTGAAAACACCTTTTTACATCAATTTCTTGCAATAATAAATAGCTGTTTGTTCTCAAAAGAGTTGTTCTTTTAAAAAGATGAAAAAAATGATCAATTAGGTATAGCAGCTGCACAAGAGGGTGAAAATCATAGAGTAGAATGAGGATTGACTTTGAACCAACGAAAAGGAATATAAGCATCCGTTCTTTCCAGAATCCTAACTACGATCAAAGACCAGACATAAATCAAGGAACGATGGTAATCAATTAGGATTGTCAGAAAAATTAGTCACAAAGTTAACTCTGTGAGTAACTGATTGAGAAATACAGAAGTTATAGGTTTTAGTACCAGAAGGGTCAGTGGTGTTAGAGCTAAGCCATTCAGTGTGAAGAGTATTAAAGTCACCAATAATAACAATATTGGCAGAGACATAGAGAGAAAGTGCATAGTTATTTTGATCAGAAATTTTATCTAAAAGAGTGCAGTCTTAGGAAGAATAAGAACAATAAAGAACAAAGAGAAAAGTAACAGAGTGAAGAGGTGCTAAATGGAAGCACATAATAGAATGATCAAAGAACTTGAACCTGGTTTCACGACAAATTGGTTAATTGATGTGTAAATATGCCCTCAGTCCTGTTAATTAACTCTAAGTCGTAACATAGGGTCTTGACAATGCGCACCAAAAGTATTAACAGGGACTCCATCTAAGCGCAATATAGCACTGTTAACACTCTGATATTTTGCAACTGCTAATGGAATCAGCCTCTCTGAGAGCTACCACAGAGTTTGAGAAAACTTACTACCAGCCGGCCAAAGAACCATAAAACTGAGTTTCAGAGCTGTACCCTCATTAGGTGATAACAGAAAAAGTTGCATAGCCAATATCAAGGATACTTTCTCATAGAAAATGTTTTCTTTGACTTTTCTCCATAAGAAAAGTCAAAAAAATCCAGCATTCATCATCCTATGAAGGAATTAATGTTTACAAGTTTACATTTACGCCAGCCTAACAGATGAAAAAGGGGTTTGAGGCTGGTCAACAGAATTATTCTGCTTACCCCTAAAGTTTGCCTCCTACAAGACATTAGCTGAATGCATTTAACATCCAAGATGAGTATTTTTATCGAGACACCATTTCCAGCCTTTTTTCAATTAAGAGCCCCAAGGCAGGGGATTTTTAAGTCAGAGTTTGTTTCTCCTAGCCTTTGCCTGAAAAAGCACTCTCTACAAGGCAGCAGGACATGAGGCAGATGGTACTGGGTTTTATAATACCAGGAGCAGGGTGATAGTGATGATCCTGAACCTGACCTGGAGTAGTTTAAAAAAGCTACTTCGTGCAAACAGCACCTTAAAACATCAGGCATGGTATTTAGAGGTGTAGACAGAACACAAACATACATATAAAATAGATTACAGGTATGCTAAAACAGTAACTAAAGCACTTTAAACTAAATAAAAAACCAACCCTCCCCCCCCCAAAAAAAATAAAAATAAAAAATTAATTAAAAAATAAATATATATATATATATATATATATATATATATATATATATATATATATATACATATATATATATATAAATATATATATATATATATATATATATATATATATATATATATATATATATATATATATATATATATACATATATTACTATAGGCGTGACCGAGTTTAAATTGTACTGATGGCTGTAAACAATTTCACTCCAGCTTTTGCTTAGAAAGCGAATACCACAAGGCAGAAGGACATGGAACAGGTTGCACTGGGTTACATGTTGCTAGTAGCAAGTTGATCATGAAGACCATACACCTGACCTGACTGAAAGTTACGGGGGAAGAAATTATTAATTTAATATATTATTATCATGTCATTAAATACACATATAGAGATTTTGTACTTTTAGGCGCAAATTTTTCAATTTAAACAGCGCCGTATACGACTCTTGTATTCCGGGCTGACAATATATCGAATTAACTAAAATATATTTTTTTATTATGTGTTTCAAAAAATTAATGTGCTGAGTTGATTTTGTAATAAATAAGGTCTACGTACGTAGACGTTGGAAGAGAGAGGAGGAGAAGGGGTTGTTGAAAACAAAATTACGTACAAGGGGAGGGGCATCTAACATACTTTATGTCCTTTTTGCTGAAAAAAAAGTTAGGAAAGCAGTGTTTTAACTTTCTCATTTCACTGAAAAAATTAAAAAAAAAAATTGAACAAAAACAAATTTATTTTTTTAAGCTTTAAGAACGAAAACAAAAACTAAGGATCTTTTTTTGGTAATAATACTCAAAAAACCTTTTTTTTTTACCTTATGTGAGATTTGAATGTAAAAGGCCTCTAAATTTAATTTTGCCCCAGGCGCCGAGTGAATATAAAGCGACACTAATAATACCGTTATGTTTCTATTCATGTAACCTTAAATAGAAACATAAAATTATTGATTAGACTTAATTGCTTAAGCTTTGTTATTCTACTTGACAAAATAAAAAGTATAAAAATTGAAGTAAAAAAGTAACAAAAAATATTGTTTTTTAATTTTAAATGCAAAACAAGAAGAAACTTTTTAATTAAAATTTTAAAATAAAAAGAATAACTAATAAAAAAAGTTTTAAAAATTAGTTTCACTTATTAAAAGTTATTAAAATATAAAATTTAATTTTTACTCTGGTAAAAATAGAGAAACGTATAAAAAAAATTCGTTAAAAAACAGAGACTTTACTTGTCATTAAAAGTAGAAAAAGTCGGCAAATAGGAATATTTAAATATTTATATAGACGTGAATGAAGCCCATGTGAAATAGATATACTAATATCTAATATCTATGTCTTGCGCTTGTAAAACATCTTTTAAATAACCAGATCTTAAAAACTATTTACAAGCTAACTAAACTTGTGTTATATAATGTATTTAATTCGAATATGTTCAAATAAAATAGAAAACTATTTAATATTTAGGATGAAAATTATTTTCTGTATTAAATTTTTGTATCTTCAATAATCGTTTCATAGTTAGATTGGGTGTACGATTCTACGACGGTATTTGGAAAATAAAGATTCGCTAACATTTGAACCATCCGTGTAAACTTATCTAAAATACAAATTTGTTACTTAGGCTGACCATTAACAAAAATAATGTTAACTCATCATGAGATAGTCAGATAAATAATTATTAGTTAATATTTAATTATAACTTAATTACCGAAAAATTCCATAATAAAATGAGGTACGATTCGATACTTGATAAACAAAAAGTAAACAAGTATTCCAGTAGATAAAACCAGAAGGCAATATGTAGACCCCAAAGGATTTTCGTAAAATGGCGCGACCACAAGATAAACGGAAAAAAATAACACAAAAATGGGAATTCCAATAAAAATCTATAATAATAATAAAATTGTAAACTGGTAATGAACATTAAAAAAAAATGTTAAAAATTGAACATTAAGTAAATTCTTTACCTTGAATGGTCTCTTTACGTTCGGTCTTTTAAATCTCAACCACAAAAGTGCAACTATAGTTAAACCATACATCATCCACGCAACAAAATTACAATAATTCATTACAGTAGTAAAATTAGAAGAATCAGGAATCATCATTATCCAAGCTAATATACACTATAAAAATTACATAAACAATATAAATAAACAAGCAAATGCACTATAAAAAAATGTAGTTTAAATTATAAGAAGTTGAATTTAAAATTACGACATTTAACAACAAAAATAAAATAAAAAAAAACAAATGTGTTTTGAATTTAGTTTAAAATTTTCTGAAATATTCACCGGATGACTGAAAAGAGGTTGAGATTCTAATGTTGTTATCATTAACGACGTCATCATACATGTTGTTATCATTATTATTATTAAATTGAAAACTGTAGTGTAAAAAATACACGGAAAGTAATCACATAAGAGAGATTACTTTATAACAGTTAAAATTTACTTTTATCTATTATCAATGTTTTTAAAAGAGTTTATCGTCTTCACATTAACAGTTTCAGGATCTAAATTGTTCCAATTGTTACAAACTTGATTTAAGAAAAAGTTATGTCTTGAATTAAATTTTGGAGCATATTTTCTTGAGAATCTGTAGTTGTGATTTTTGTTTTTTTTTTCGTCTAATACTCTGTTGGTTATAAAATTTATTGGATTTTGTAATGAGATTTGATCGTAACCATATACTATTCTATACATTTGAATAAGGTCTCCTCAAATCTTTCATTTCTTTAATGATTCCAGGTTAAAAACTTTAAGTGATCTATATCTTGTTGTTGGTTAGGATTCCAAACTGAGACAGCATAGTCTAAATGTGATCTTACAAGTGATGTATATAATACTTTCATAGTGCAGACATTCAAATTTCTAAAAGCTTTATTAACCATTCCCAAAATCTGGTTTCCATTATTTGCTGCTTTAATGACTTGATTGTGTCATTTTAGTTTATTTGTAACAATAATATCCAGATATTTTTCTATTTCTGTTGCTGCTTTTATGACTTGATTGTGTCATTTTAGTTTATTTGTAACAATAATATCCAGATATTTTTCTATTTCTGTTTCATGTAGTGCTATATGTTTATTATTATTATATATTTTCATCATGTAATATTTGAATTTTTTGATTTTTACTCCAAAGTGCATAGTTTTTTTTTTATTTATGACGTCATCATTCAATTTACTCAAGATAAGATCACAACTGAGAGCGACTAAGATTGTTAGGCAAGCAGTTGCATTTTTATTACGCATTTTGATTTATAAAACGTTTAATTGACATCAAGTTAATAATATTATGGAATAAAAACCTAATAAGCCATTAAAAAATATTTACAGATAAAATAAAAAAGACGAGCTTTACACCAGTATTCGTTTTTTTTTAAATATATGTCATAACAATCTTTTCTTAGTCCTATAACTCATAAGTCTTGGACACACTTGAGCCTTGACACACTTGAACTTTGGCCACACTTGAACTTTGGCCACAGTTGAACCTTGACACACAAAGCTACTGTAACTAGAAACTGTGATAAACATTGGAACTAAGTGCAACTGCTAACTACAAACAATACAAAAAAAATTTCTTAGCTTTTTAAAGAACTTATGAAAAAATGGTAAGAATTGATAAATAAAATAGTGTTTTAAAACTGGTTTGTACTCTATAGTTTTTAAATAGAGAAAAATATTATTGATAATTTATTTGATACTTATTTTAAACACTGCAATAACCCTTTGGATGTAAGTTAGGGTACCCAAAAGTTATGAAATATAGCTAAGAAATTATTTTTAGAATGCCACTTTTGAAGAATGTTATCTCTTTTTGCTTGTCAATTTAAAGAGATATTTTCAAAAGTGGTATTCTAAGAATAATTTCTCAGCCTTACTTCATAACTTTTGGATACCCCAATATAAATCCAAAGGATTATTGCAGTGTTTAAAATAGGTATCAAAAAAGTTATCATTATTATTTTTCTCTATTTAAAAATTACAGAGTACTAACCAGTTTTAAAACACTTTTTTATTTATTAATTCTTACCATTTCTTTTTTATTTATTTATTTTTTTATTTTGATGTTTGCTGATTATATTATTACAGTAAAAGTATTTTTGATAAGTACAAAACAATGATAACAAATGATAAATAAATATTTCTAAGAAAAACATTTAGCTTTTTTAGTTATATTACTAGTTTTATATATATATATATATATATATATAATATATATATATATATATATATATATATATATATATATATATATATATATATATATCGGTATATTTATATCTGTATATATATATATATATATATAGCTCAGTAACAGTTTTAAATTGGTGTATGGCTGCTTTAGCGTCATAAACCTTTCTTACTAGCATTCCCCACACATTCTCGATTGGATTTAAGTCCGGGCTACAAGCTGGCCATTCGAGAACTGGGATGTTGTGGTTTTTAAACCATTTCATAGAATGCCTAGATGTGTGAATTGCAGCATTATTTTGCTGAAATATGGCATTATCGTCCATGTTTTCATCCATATAAGGTATGAGAACATCATCCAACATTTCTGTATACTTTATCAAGTTCATTTTAGGTAAACCACAACACAGAATCAATTTTCTTGAATAAGAAAATCCACCCCAAGCCATTAAACTTCCTCCACCATAATTTCGTTTAGTTTGTGGGTCATTTATTCCTTTTAGATCATGCCAATAACAACTGTAAGAGTCCGGACCATCTAAATTAAACTTTTTTTCATCTGAAAATATTCCGTTTTGCCACTCATGAGTCCAATGCATATGGTTTTTAGCAAACTGTAATCTAGCAATTTTATGGTATTTTTTTAACATTGGTTTTTGGTGTGGTTTCTTCCATTTTACATTTGGTGTTGTACGTAGAATATGTGCAACATGTTTATTGGTGACAGGCAATAATAATTTATCCTTTATTTGTGTTGCATTCATTTTATTTTTTATTTGTGTTGCATTCATTTTATTTGCTTCGAAGTGAACTCGATTAATTTGCCATATTGTTGCCGCTTGTTGCTTTTTTTATACGGTAATTGTCACCTTTTGCAATGTAGTTTCGTACAACATGGTCAGATTTTCCAATTTTTCTTGCTATTTTTCGAATAGAAAGTGCTGGTGAGATTTCTGAGCCATGATATAACTTAATTTGTATTTTTTCAGCATCTTTCAAATACTTTCTTTTAGGCATTTTGTAAAATGCAATAAAAATGATATTAGCAGAGCAAAAGATCAAATTACACTAAAATTTATCCATTAATTTGTGTAAAAGTGATTAAAAATCAATAATTACCGCTATTAACCTGATTGCGTCTATAGATATATTCCAATTAAAAAATGTGCTTTTGTATTACAAACATACTCTCATGTTAACAAAGACACATAGAAAAAATTTTTTTGTGGTTTTTATTAGCCCACAACACAACAATTATTTTGATAAAAACTTGCATGCATATCAGTTGACAATTCATAGAAAAAAATTAAGATAAAGAGAAAAAAATTGATGCGTCTAAACGAATATGCCTCAGTGTGTGTGTGTGTATATATATATATATATATATATATATATATATATATATATATATATATATATATATATATATATAAATGTATATATATATATATATATATATATATATATATATATATATATATATATATATATATATATATATATATATATATATATATATATATATATATATATATATATATATATATATATATATATATATATATATATATATATATATATATATAAAGATTGTATTGGATTTGGAATATTTTTAAATATATTTAAAAATATTCCAAATCCTGCGCATCCCCCTCCCCAACTTTCACAAATAAATGCTTAAATTATGTTATTGCATTTTGTATTTACATTTGGAAGAATATATACATGCATAATCTTAAATAAATGTATATTCGTGTAACTTTACAATATATTAATAATTCCAAAACTTCACTTTTGGCGTTTTGTTTTTGCAAATGTAGAAACGAATTCCGCCAGTTCAATGTTTTTAGTAATATCATATTCACTTGACAGAGTAGCTAATCCAGCAAGCCATTCTGCTCCATAGACATTCTCAAAAATGTTTTTAACAGTTTGAGTTTTGAAAACTTCGCTCACCGCTAGCCACGGAAACTGGAAGTGTCAAGAGGATTCTGATAGTTATAACATTGTTGGGGGCACAATCTGTTAGATCATTTTTAATAAAAAATTTAGTAAATCTAGACGGTTTAAGCACAAGGCGAACTAGGTACACCTAGTTCGCCTTGTGCTTAAACCGTCAGAGTTTGAATATATTTAAAGATTGTATTGGATTTGGAGTATGTTAAATATATTTAATATATTTAAAGATTGTATTGGATTTGGAGTATGTTAAATATATTTAATATATTTAAAGATTGTATTGGATTTGGAGTATTTTAAATGTATTTAATATATTTAAAGATTTTATTGGATTTCGAGTATATTTTGAATATGTTACTTAAAGTTAAACACATGGCCAACATTTTTTCAATAGCCAGCAACTCATAAGCCAATGTGGCCCGAACAACTGTTTGAAGCCAATTAAAGTCGTGTTGCATAGGAATGTACATTAAAAAATATTTTATATAAATGAAATAAAAATTTTTACAAGAACTTATAATCTTACTGTTAGTGTTAAAGCTGGAATAGGTGTTTGTTTTTCACAATGAAGCATTGCAAGAACTTTGGGCAAATGGTTGTTTCGTGCAGCAACATAAGCTAATCTGGAAAACAATATTAAATATTTTTAAATTAATATTTAGTTTCACGCAATTCATTTGCATTTATTTTCAAAATATAACAAAAAACTCTAACCTGCCACCACTAAATGCTGTTCCATTTGCAGCACCCACAGTGGAAAAGGCAACAAATATTGGTATTAAGAAAGCATATTTACCATACACTCTATTTGCCATTGTCTTAAAATATAAAAATATTTATTAAAAAATTAAATAAAAAGTAAAAATAAGAACTGTTTATATTTCAAAAAAAAAAAAAATTAAACTGTACCACAGCTAATGCATTCGACCTTGCAATCTCTGATGATGTCAAAACTGTAAGATATGCTGCATTGATAAGCACATAACACCCAGTAACTAATGGAATTCCAATTATAATAGCAAGTGGAAGATCTCGATTGGGATTCTTTATATCTTCTGTGGCTAAGTTTAGTGTATTCCAACCGTCATAAGCCCATAACCCTCCATAGAATGCATAGCCAATACTTGATATTTGTATATCTGGACCAGTAAATGCATTTTTAAACTCATTGTCAAAACCTAGAATTAAAAAATATTTAATGCTTTTTAAAAAGATTTTTTTTATTATTACAATACATGTGTCGCTTTAATGATTGGTTTTTGTACATTTTAAGGTAAATTAAAACTAATTAGTTGTAAGTAAAACAGTATAAAAAATAAATTAGGAAAAATAATGCACACTGCAATATATATTCATTGGAGATTGTTATCTACCCACAGGATTTATTCTTTTAGTAAAAGCCATTGACACTTTACTACCAGTGAACACATATTATCACCTAAATAAAACTAGGCTATAAAACTAAGGCTAAAGTTAAACATGAATAATGCAAAAACTACGTAAATGAAGTGAGCAAAAAATATTTGAAAGTGGCCGTTTAGAAAGTGTAGATAAAGAGTTGGAATAAAATCTATTGTTTGCACTGTTAGTAAACAAAGGGTCTACACAAATACATTTGGTTTTAAATTTATATAATGTACCTTTGACGAATACAAAGCTAGAGTCAGAAATAATTTGAAATAAACAGTATAATAGTATAAAAAAAATGTGTAGGAAAGTATTGTTTTCAATATAGAAAAGGCAAGAGTAATGTGTTCCTCAAAAAAATTTAGAGGATTATTTTCTCTTACAGCATTAAATGCATCAATAAACATCAAAAGAAAAGTTTTACATTAAATGCAAGCAAAGTTGTTTAATCAATGGCAGTGAAGCATGACTAATGAAGGTTAAAAATGTCCAGCATCTAAAAAAAAAAGGTAATCAGACGGATGTTTAATGTGACACTAAATAATTTAAGAAGAAGCCATAATCTTCGTTAGAAATTAGGAATATGAAAACAATAGGGTGCATTAAATGAATACAATAGGGTGCATTAAATAAATACAATAGGTTGCATTAAGGAAGAAGAAGTTTGTTTGGTCCCAGTAATAAAATTGCTTTACATACATCTTTAAAAAATTTTGCTTTATAACATTTAGCTGTAGTAAGGTCAAGAATAATATTTGAATAGAAATTAAATTCTAATATATTTGTATATATTTGAGTATTTATACTATTTATAATAAATAAAGACATCCTTCAAAGCAAACATAATTAAGGATTTTTTACCCTTTGTTTTTAACTTAGTACTATGTACATTTTGCGTCCTGTTTGCTTTTATTCTATCAAAACAATTTATTCTCATTATTTGCATTATATTGAATTTGTATATTTTTTGATTTTTTCTTGTTTTTATATTTTACAACATTAGTCAAAATAGGTTTGTCAAAAGTTTTTATTTTTTAATAAATTTATCAACTTTTTGTTGATATATTTTATTTTTCAGCTCATTGCGTTGGATGTAACTCATAATTTTTTTAGTATATCGGATGAGTATAAGGTAAAACAGCATATATAGTTTTTTTGATACATCGGATGAGTATAAGGTAAAACAGCATATATACTTTTTTTTGATATATCGGATGAGTATAAGATAAAAAAGCATATATACTTTTTTTTGATATATATCGGATGAGTATAACGTAAAACAGCATATATACTTTTTTTTGATATATCGGATGAGTATAAGGTAAAACAGAATATGTACTTTTTTTTAATATATCGGATGAGTATGAGGTAAAACAGCATATGTACTTTTTTTTGATATATATCGGATGAGTATTAGGTAAAACAACATATGTACTTTTTTTTTCAAGTTGTTAGTAATGCAGCTTTAAAGTTTTTAATTGTTAAGTAAAAACTTAGAAAGTTTAAAAAGTAAAAGATAAAAGTGAAAAAAAAAATTAAAGTTTAAAAAGTAAAATTAAAAATGAAATATCACTGTTGTGATATTTTTGGAGTATTCAACTTATGTAGATTCAAAAACTGTGGAAAATATTATATCTATACAGTTCAATATTGGTTAGAAACATATGTAATACAAATAGAGTCCTACTGGATATCAGATAATAATTGCCTCTAATTTAAATGATTGAAATACAATCTTAAGTAAGACTAATTAAACTCATTCACTAGATAATCATACTTCTTGCTCATCAAAATTAACATTTTCAATGACTCATTAAAAATACCATTTTAAATTGAATTGAAAAATGAAACTCTTCGTTTTAACAATTGACAATTTCTGTTAACCTCTTATTTATTTTATAAGGTTAACATGACATTATTTCTACACAATAACAGATTAATAATTTTATATATATATATATATATATATATATATATATATATATATATATATATATATATATATATATATATATATATATATATATATATATATCATAGCGTTCTCTACTACAGGCCTATTCATCGCGCAACCGGATTTTTTTGTGGAGGCCTACTTTTTTACGGCAAAAAAGATAATAACTTCGTAATTTTAAAACTAAAAAGTAATTTTAATTCTCTGTATAGCCAAATAATTTTTTTTGATGAAAAAAGAAAATTAATATTAAGTAATATATAAGAAATAAGAAAAAATAAAAAATAAGAAAAAATTTCTTTGCCTTTTATTTACATTGTTAATACAATGTAAATAAAAGGCAAAGAAATTTTTTCTTATTTCAAATTTCAAACATTTACATAATTATATTATTTCACCTTTAGTTTTGGCTTTAACAGCTAAATACAAAATTGATATTTTCTTATATTGAGTAGAAATGTTATTAAACCAAACAAAAAATATTAGATAAATTTTGATTAAAATTGTTAACAAAATCTGAAAAAAAAACCCAACTAATATATGAAACTTTTATAAATCTTTTATAAAAAAGTATACTGAATATATTATAAACAGTAGACAACTAAGTAGACAGATCTTGGAGTGACAGTGGTACATAAATTTAAAAAAAAAAATGTTGCTCAATATTACACAATGATGTTCTTCCATATCCAATAAATAATAGTCTGATATAATCATAAAAATACTACTTAAAGATTTTTGGCATACATGATCTTTAACTATTTGAAAAACTACAAAACAAAAAAATGTCCATTGGCATGAATTATCAGTTGGAATTTTTAATCCACCACAATCCAAAAATTTAGAAAACTGACCATATTTCTGAAAATAGAACGTTGTTTGATCTAAAAGTTCATAATCAGTTCGTTCTTTATCATTTCGTGTAACATAACCAGCAATGTGAATAAGTGACATTTTAACATCATCAGCAATAGAAGATTCTAGATCTTGCAAGTTATCAAGAATTTTGCAGCAGTCTTCAGACAATTTGTAATCACATAATGCACATTGATGACCAGACTTCACATTAAAATTGTTAATATCTACATTTAACTTCAAAAGTAAAGATGCATGTTTGATACGTAATTTTTCAATAACTTGTTGAACACTAAGAAAATATGTACCACCAGAACCTTGACGAAGTATACTATATTCTTTTTCCAGGTGATCTGAAGTAAATTGACCAAGAAGAACATAGTTTTGCGTAGTGTTAAGTAAATATCTACATAAATCTACTAGTCCATAACAAGTTTGATGTATACAAGTTGCAGTATCTTTAGAAAGCTGTTTAATACGCTTACCTTTATGACCTGCCATTTTAAGTGCCATATCACCAAATTGTAGTATTAAATTTAAACGGTTGTCATCAGGATTGTTGATAACAGCCTGCAAAGGATCATTATGCCTTGTATCAGCACCAATGGCTTTGACATTTAAAATTTTCCACCAAATAATAACTTTATTAATAAATATAGCAGTGTCGTTAACATCAATATGTATCATGTCAGGATGTTGCAAAAGAGCAGCATAAGTTTTTTCTGAAAATACTCTTAAAACTGTTAATACACACTGTCGTTCAACAGGTTTAGGAGAAATAGAAGTTTCATTCAGGTCAGATAACTTTAGAAAGCTTCTGGATTCTGCATTGTAAAGCTGCTTTAAATGAGTCCATTTTGCAATCCTGGTTGCTCCGTTAACGTCAAATATTAATTCCTGAGTTTTTTCAGTTAACCAAAGATTATGAATATTTTTTATGAGGTGTACAAAATCATAAAGTAAATACTTTCCATCTACTGTTAACCATGGTTTTCCCGGAATGAATGTGTACATTTTAACAAAAGCCTGATTGACACGATTCCCATCACATATAATAGCTTTTACATTTGTACTGACTGAATCAATTATTTGACTAGTTAAATTAATCTGTTCAAACAAAAAATCAGATCATAATTTTGATATTGGTATCATTTTAATTAACACCTTTGGACCCCCATTTAAACAAACAGCCATAATCCCTAACAATGTTTTGGACAATTCCATTGGGTTATCCTCCGATCTACCAAAAATAGTTCCACCATGGTAAAGCAAACTTTTTTTAACATATATTTCATCATGTAGTATGATACATAATTTCTGCTTATCCAGAAGAGAGTTAAAAATTGAATAAATAAATTTGTTTTCATTAATATTAGAAATTTTTGAAGTAATTCGAGTCAGTGTTGAAATAGATGGAAGTTGATTGTTTCTTAAGCGATTATATAATGCCCTTGGATGTTAAGAAATATACAAAAGAGCGTATAAGTATTTCAGGTGTATAAAATTTTATCTCCAACTAATTTTGGTCCCATAACTGAAACATGTTGCATAATTACTTCTTTTTTATTATCAATTTTCAAAGAGCTTAAAAAACGAAGTATCTCATCAAACTTAGACCAGGAGTCAACAGTTAAGATTCGATTTACTGTTAAGCTAGAAATGTGACACTTAATCCCATAATGAAATGTTTCAAAGGTAAGATTTTCATAAATTTTAAGTACAAAAAAAGGTATTCCATTAAAAAATTGCAAAGATTGTATAACAACATAGCCATCAACCATAAACGATATAACTGGATATTGGTGATCACTGCTATCAATAAACTTGTTTTTAATGTCACAAAAAGTAGCTTTATCCCTTTTAAGAAATGTATCTAGCTCATCATCTATTGTACTTCTAATGCCACTTAAAGATCTTTTGGTAGATCTTTCAGTTGGATAACCAGTTGGAATTTGAGATAAA